CTGCAGAAGCTGTCCGCAGATGTAAAAGTCGAACGACGTCTCTTGACATCATGAATACATTGATTAGGCAATGGATAGTCGCATTGTACTATGTATGCACTATCTATATCATTTTGTAGTCTCCACTAGGTATTGATGATGATGATCTATAGACTGTTTATGATAATGTCCGCAGCCTATTCAACATTAGCGTTTATCTTACTACGGTTACATTCCCACTTACCTTCTCGCCAATAGCGTACGCTGTAGAGCTAGTATGTGCACTTGGTAGGAAAGGCAGAATACTGATATCAACAACACGCAATCCGGTCGCACCATGCACCCTCAGGTCTGGCCCTACCACGCCTCCCAGATTCCTGGGTATCATCGCAGCTGTGCAGCATGGGTGCAAATGCGAGAGTACCATGGAACTCTTTATGTAAGATTTGAGGTCTTCGTCTGACTGAACAGCTGGGCCAGGAGTGACTTCAACTGCACCGTATTTGCGCATAGTCGGAGTATCCAGTACCTTACGAAGCCATTTGATATGCGCAATGTGGACAGAGAAATCGATGGGACTGGAGCCAGCGCGGTAATCAAGTATAGGCTGAGCTAACAGGTCGGTTGAATTGAGGTGGACAGTACCGCGACTCAATGGATGGAGAATGATGGGGCGCATAGTCGTCCCAGTCGCAAAGGGTACTTCTGCGCTGGGGGCTTCTGGGTTTGCGAGAAGGTCGGCAAGGACGTGAAGCTGACGTTTGTAACCAGCAACGAGGCTTGGGTCGGAGTTCTCTGGCAAATGAGCAGCCGCTGAGTCGCTATCAGCCGTCTTGCGCATTTCCTCAATAATTTCAATGTACTCCTCGGTCACGTTAGGGAGTGAGATGTACAGGGCAGTATTACTCATGGCCAACGTGTAAGGGCCTCGTGCTGGCATCATATTGAATTCTGCTACTGCTCTGGCGGCATAAGCAGGATCAAGCATGTCTGCAGGCATATTGGAGAAGTTGCCAGGCTTCGTATCTGTGACACAGTCAGTGATCAGTGTCACCCTTAACGAGCAACCTGGATACTCACAGTTCCACGATATGCCGGGAGAAGAGTGATCTTGCAAGTTTGAGCCTACTCCAGGAAGATCCAGTACCGCGGTGATGTTCAAGTCATTGAGGAGAGCTGCAGGGCCAATGCCGCTCCTTTGTAGGATGGTAGGTGTGTGCATTGCGCCGGCAGAAATGACAACTTCGGCTTTGGCGGTTACATTGAACACTTGATCGTTAGAAAGAGATCTTATCTCTACCCGTGGTGGCCCGTGTGAGACGCCGTCAGTGTAGACAACCCTGATGACCTGATGCTTGACCAGCAAGTCGTAATTTGGTCTACCCGAAACGTCGGAGTAGTGGCCCAAACCAGCGTGCGAGCGCCTGGCCGTGACTGGATGCTGAGATATGGGTACCCAACACATGCCTTCTTTGTCACCACCTCCACACTCATCTAGGGCTCGGATACCCATATCTCTCCAAGCATCCCTCGCGAGGTGAATGTCGCCCCATAGAAAAGGTGGGAAACTCGAATGGATGGGAGTCGTGCCGCCATACGCGGACATGTCCCAAGTGAACCCATACTGTTCCACCACGCTTGGCTCTGGTGGAGTGAAGGTCACGCTCTATATGGAGTCAGCTTGACGTCAGACACGAGCGGCAACCATACTCACCTTCTTGAAGTAGGGAAACAGGCTCTCCCAATCCCACTTGGCCGTACTGTTTGCAAACTCAGGACCTCCAATCTGAGTCCAAGCGTCGTAGTCATGTCTAGATCCGCGATCAAAGTACTGGCCGTTGATGGCGCTACTGCCACCGACAGTCTGACCAACGAACAGTAAAGCCTGTTTGCCATTCATTTCCGGATTAGGTACTGAGTTGAATGTGAAGTATCCCGCCTTGTCAGTTGGCCCGCCCCAAACGAGGCTTGGCGGATCAAATGCCCCTGGCGCATATGCGACTTCGCCGTACTCAACAACCAGCACTGTTTCTGCGATGAAGGTCAACCAAAAGTGTTGTGTAGACGATTGTGAGGACTTGCTCTCTGGGAAGGCCTCAGTAAGTCGATCAGCTACTGTAAGACCAGCAGTTCCTCCACCACAAATTACGACATCATAGGTAGGCCGAAGCTCTGAGATGTGACGTTTGAAAGCAGGGCGTGGGAGCGCATTAGCGCAAGTGACGGCTAATCCAACTGATAGAATTCGTGGAATCATGGCTGTCCGTTCGAAAGGTATCACTCCGATCGTCTAGCGAGCGTCTTCTCTTATGTCGCTGCTATCGCGTTGCTATGCTGCTGTGCCACCCGAACGCTCGTGTCATTGGCACTCGATAGTGCGCGTTGGCATCTGCCGGTCGTGTGGACCGCTCGTGATCGGTATGAAGTGCTCATTGGTCCTAACCTCCGTTGTAAGTCAGACTTCGTAAGCGTTGCTGTGCATCGCAGCATGCGTTTGTGGTGAGATGCGTGCAGGAGCGAGCGACCCCGCTCGAACAGGAAGGTTCATTAGTAGCCTGACTCGTGCCCGTTTTCTTGAGTGAGCATATCGCATATTCATCATGTCTTTGTTTGCGCAGCTCTACGCGGCGAAATGGCTGCTCGTAGCGGTCATTCTTGTGGCCTACGCTGTGGCGACCTTCGTTCGCTACCGGCGCCTTCGAGCCTTCCCTGGCCCGATCAGCTCGGGATGGTGTGAACTTATGCATATGCGCGCGATACTGAGTCGACATTCGCATCTCTGGTATAAAGCCGTTGGCGATGAATACGGTGAGTAGATAGGTGGAAGTCCCAAGGTCGCTGCGCGGGAGAGGCGCCGTCTCGCCCCTGTGCGGCCCGCTTGCCCCTTGCTGACAGCGCCGAACTACAGGACCCCTCGCTCGCATTGGTCCCAACGACCTTTTAACATCGTCGCCAGATCTGCTGGCCCATATGAACGCAGTGCGCTCGCCGTACACTCGCACAGCATGGTACAACAGTGCCGTGCGGATGGAGGTTGGTAAGGACCATGTTTTTAGCCAACTCGACGAGGCTCAGCACACGAAGCGGCGCCAACAGATGGCGTCTGGGTACTCAGGCAAAGAGAATTGGTCCCTGGAATCTGACATGGACGAACACATACACCAGCTTCTGGACCTGATCAGATCAAAGTATCTTTCGACTGCTACGCGGCACGAGCCGGTGGATCTCGCCAGTAAGATTCAGTATCTTACTCTCGACGTGATCAGCAAAATCGGCTTCGGTAAAGCGTTTGGGGATATCAAAGCCGATGCTGACCTCGACGATTATATAAGCGCTGGTCGGGTCGGGTTGGCAATTATGGTCTTCACCGGGGCCCTTGGACTGACACCTTACCTCCATTGGCCACCCATCGCGCGCATGCTTGGGCCCTCAGACAAGGACAAGAGTGGTTATGGAAAGATGAGAACGGTAGCTCGGGAACTCATCGATTCGCGTCTGGAGAAGCCCACCAATAGTCGCTCGGACATGCTTTCGTCGTTCATACGCCACGGATTGACACGCGACGATATCGTGACTGAATCGATGCTCACGATTCTAGCAGGGTCTGACACGACTGCGACTGCTATACGTGGAACGATGCTCTATCTGATGACCACCCATAGGGCGTACAAAAAGCTGCAGGCCGAGATTGACGCTGCCGTTACTTCAGGTCATGCTGCTAGCTCGACCGGTATCGTGTCTGACGAGACGATGAAGAGCCTGCCATACCTACAAGCCGTAATGCGTGAAGGGCTTCGAATTCATCCACCTGTCACTGATATTGCTCCGAAGAAGGTACCCGTTGAAGGCGACAATGTCACGATCAACGGTAAAGCGTATTTCCTTCCTGGTGGTACCAACATTGGGTATAACGTAATGGGCCTTAATCGAAACAAGGAGATATTTGGTGAAGATGTCGACTGCTTCAGACCGGAACGTTGGTTACTCGATGAGCACAACGAGATCCAGCTTGAGCGCTTGAACGCTATGCGCCGTACTACAGACATGATTTTCGGGTATGGCAAGTACCAGTGTCTCGGGAAGCCTATAGCATGGTTGGAGATGAGGAAGGTCATCTTCGAGGTTCGTTATTCCAGACTTTCGTATCGAGTCCCTATGCTGACCTGTATCTAGTTCCTACGACATTTCGATTGGTCTCTTGCAAGCCCAGAGAAACCGTGGAGATCTAAGAACTACTTCGGCGTCTTCCTGCAAGACCAAATGTGGTGCCACATTACTGAGAGAGAACATGGCTTATGAGGGCCTCTGCGTGACGGATGTGAGTCACGTGAAGAGTCGCAGGCCCCAGGGGCTTTCTTTGGCGTCGGCTTAAATTGATCCCAAGGTTTCTTTCCTTGTGTTCGTTAACGGCCCCTTTACTGTCCAACCAGTCTCTTCAGATAGGACGGAAATCCAATTATTCCGAGCAGGTTGCTTGGGGTTTGTGATGTTTTGTCCAACCTGTCCGTACTTCGACCAAGTTTCCGGTTGAGTGACCTGCGCACGGTGCCTTATGCACGGCATATCGTGATGCTTGCGGGGTAATGTGGAGCGAATGTCTACCCCGGACAAGCCACTAATTTGCATCAACCGAATTGCATCAATTCGCCGGCTAATGTGACATCACCATCGTCTTGGCTCTGCTGACCGGCTTTGCAGTTGTATGTGATCGCATCAGGCACCACATACGTGACTTATCCAGGTCGTAAAGCTTACACGTCTTTCACGGCTGCTCCAATGCGCTTCGCCCGGGCTACCAAGCAACAACTGCAATGCCAAGATCGCAAACAATTCTAGAGTGATTCAGCTCGGCAAATGACTACCGGCTATGTAGACGGCGGTGTGCTCATATTTCTCATTGGTGGATCTTCAGGAACGACGCTTCCGTACAGCCTCATGGAGAGGCTTCAGATGGCAGCTGTTGTATATGAGCGAATGCATATGCGTTGCAAGCATGGCGCAATTTCCCAGATCCTTCCGCCATGAAGCTTCGAAAATCCTGGTTGGCCGCGGTGTGCTTCGCCACCCCCGTTCTCGCATCATCAGCAATCGTTCATTCGCAGGCTGGCATATACCAAGGACGTTTCCTGCAGGAATTCGACCAAGACCTATTCCTAGGTGTCAAGTATGCTCCAAAGCCAATGCGATTCGCTCCCGCTCAGTTAGCACCGGATTTGTCTACAAGATACCACAATGCTACGCAGTACGGTGTTGACTGCACAGGATATGGTGGAGACACAAACACTCTGGTAGCCACAAATTGGACAAAACTGGGAGAGGACTGCCTACACCTGAACATCGTCAAGCCGAGGACAAATGAGACAGATCTCCCGATATTGCTATGGATCTACGGAGGTGGATGGCAGCAGGGTGCTACCAGTGATCCAAGGTAAGCTGTCTGAAGTGACTACAGTTGGAATGAAGTACTCATCAGCGCTAGATACAACATGAGCTACATTGTTCAGCAATCAGTACTCAACAACAAGCCCGTCATCGGAATCTCGATCAATTACCGCATGGCAGCATTTGGCTTCTTGTACAGTGAAGAAGTTGAGGCAGCTGGCGCACAGAATCTCGGACTTCGCGACCAACGACTTGCGATGCAATGGGTCAACAAGCATATATCATCCTTCGGTGGTGATCCTGAAAAGGTCACAATTTGGGGTGAATCGGCAGGCGCATACTCCGTTGGTGACCACATCGCTGCATACAACGGCGATAACGAAGGCCTGTTTCGCGCGGCTATCCTAGAAAGCGGCAATGCTGTTGGTGCACCACTCAATGGCACCGACTGGTACCAGCACATGTACGACAATCTGACTGAGTCGGTCGGCTGCTCAGGTGCTGAGGATACGCTCCAGTGTCTTCGTGACGTACCCTACGAGACCATCGCACCATACGGCTACCAAGGTCTTGAATGGTTCCACGTCATCGACGGTAGCCTGATACCTCGATACGGTCAACAATCATTGCAAGAAGGCAAGTTTGCGAAGATACCCCTCATACTTGGCACCAATACCGACGAAGGCTTTGGTGTGAACGGGGTAAACAGCGACTCTGACGCTATCAATCAGCTCGTACACTCCAAACGTTGGAACGTCAATGAGACTGTCGCGGAGAAACTTCTCGAGCTGTACCCCAACGACCCTGCACTTGGCGAGCCATACGGCTGGGGCAATCGCACATGGCCACAGTATGGTCTGCAGTACAAAAGGTACCAGAGTATCGCGACAGATCTGACGATGTATGCTCCTCGGAGATTGCTCGCGGAAAGTATGAGTGAGCATGTCGATAGGGTGTACTCGTATCGATGGGATGCGCCCAAGTTCAACAGCACACCGGAAACAATTGGCGTCAATCACTTCTCTGAGGTCAGTATCGCGCCATTATTGCGTTGTCAAAGAAGCAAGAACTGACTTTAGGACAGATACCCTTCGTCTTTGGAAATCCAGAACAGCAACTCACTCCATTGGGCAATAGCTCCGAAAACATTGCATTGTCGAAGCTCGTCATGCGCATGTGGACTTCTTTCGCGTACGATCTCGATCCTAACGGCCATGGAAGTAAGTTTTGATGTCATTCATTACTATTTAAAAGCTAGTACACTAACGCGCGTAAAGTATCCCAAACTCCCCATTGGCCGAGCTATGCCACAAATGCGACCAACTTTGTCTTCCGAAAAGACCAAAGCTATATCGAGGATGACAACGATAGAGCTGAAGGAGTTGCTTATATCAACAGTTTAGTGCGATGAAGCTGTTTGTAGGCCAGTGTCAAGAAAATCAGAAAGTACCAACGCACATTGATCTCAGCATCGTCAATATAACTACCTGATAGCAAGTGTATTTCATGTGATGAGCTTTCAGAGTTGAAGAGGCGAGAACTTCAGATGAATAGGTGAAAGTGAATGTGTCCGAAATTGTTCTTCTCCGATGTATGCGGACCAGCTTTGGTCAATTCCAACAACTCCACCTTTACCAGATCGTGCATTGCTACACTCAACATGGATGTTCTTAGGGGCGTCGCAAGACAAACACTCGGTCTGGATCCAATCTGAGATTTGACATCGCACCATATTCTTCAGGGTCCCTCAGCTCCGGATTTCCTACAAAGATTCTGGTTGGCTTTGTATGGTCCTCATGCCACTCCGTCTTGTGCATATATCTGTTGCGTTGGAATATGGTGCAGAGATGATGCGCTAACGGCGGATCAGATTTTGCCGTGCCTTCAAGGAAGATAGCAAGCTTGGGGAAACTGGGACAGTTCCAAGCCTCGCGCATTCTAAAAGGAGTTGTGTGACCTGAGACCTCTTCCCGCAGAGATCTGGACCGGGCTTGCCACAGTTCGGTTGCCGTAGAGAAGTGCTGTTGGAGCAGGAGGAGAAGGTCGCCAACACGAACGCCATCTTCTTTACTTACTATGCCCAACACTTGCATCTCTTCGTGGGTCTTGCCAATCGCACGTATCCGCAAAACCTTGCAGGGTGGTCGGCTGAGAAACATACTGTGAATGAGCTGCTCCCGAGACGGCCCTATTTTTGACGAAAGATCTTTGAGATAGTCATGTATGCGGGGCTTGATGGTAATGGTGTAGTTGCCTTGGAATGGTTGGAAGCAGTCGCCGAATAGATCGACGAAGTATGGATTCACCTCAAGTTGAGACAGGTCCAACCATCGAGGTTCTTCTGCTAGAGAATATAAACTCGAGGATCCGAACCTTCCGTATTCTGAGCGAATCCAGGTATGAAGAGAAGTGAGTAACTCCTGTGGAAGTGTATATGCTTGCGTGAATCGCGCCGTGAGGAAGTGATCTGACAAGATACGGCGGTAAGCATACGGATTTCTGATGTTGCAAGTGTTCTGGAGTCTGGTGACCTCATCTTCAGATGGTGGTAGCCACTTGAGGCTCGGAGGGATGGTGTCACCGTATTCGACAGCTGCGCAAGGGTACGGGACGCGATATTGCGTACCCAACGTGTGCACAACGATTTCTCTCCAACGTCTTGAAACGTTCCATGCTGCAAAGTGAGTTCTGGGTGAGGCGTAAGAAATTATATGCTCCAGTATCTCGACGACATCCAGAGCGCGGTGAGATCCGCTGTAGTGTGCGTGGGGCGAGGCTGACGACGTAGCGGGCGGGGCGTCCTCACCTATAGGGTTGGGATCGTAGAGCGCGATCCTTGCGTCGATTGTGCGCAGAGCAGAGGTTCTCCGTTCTTCGATACTTTGCTCCAACTGGTCAGCATTCTTGGGTTGGTTAGCGGATGCGGGATTCTCGGTGTCGACCATACTGGCTAATCTTGGACGATGCGTATTCAAGGTTTCTTAGAGAGAAAAGAGACTTGAAGAACTTGTTGACTGTCCGCTGGAAAATCTGGTCTTTATGTGCAGGTCGGTTTCTAGGCAGACGGTAAGCACGTGATGTGGACCCTGCAGACCCGTGAACGTTTCCAAGGCTCTGCGGTACCGATCCAGAAATCCAGCGGATGCCCACTCCAGTCAGTCTTACGCTTATGCAATAGGTCGAAAGCGCACATCTTATACATCTCACGCTTAATGTAGCAACCGTGTCTCGACAGACCGATGGGGTGGTTGTGTGCCGGTACCGCCAGCCCTAGAGGCATCAAGGCGAGAGTCCGGGGGCATGACGTTAGATTTCGCGACGAATTCTGAACTCCTCCCGATCATGTCTTTCCTGTATCGCAGATATCCTGTGGTCAAGAAGCTTCTTCCGATGCAAGATCGAACATCGCAGGTAGGTGACAATACAACATTACCTACCTAGGTAGGTACCTTGGAAGCGCTAGAAGCGGGAGGTACGAGAAGAGGCGCATGAGAAGGGGCCGCAGACTGGATCCACGGACAACGTGCAAGAGACACAGCCGGAAGTGTCAAAGTCCTCTTCAACACACGCCGTGTGTAGGACGCACCAACCTCCCCGCGCGCGGTCTCGATGCTGACGCTCTCGCTCAAAAAGCCGCAAGAGGCTTAGCGTGTGATGACCCTTATCGGCCGGGCGTAACAGCCTGCTCACTTATTCCACCATTCATGAGATCTACGATTGGCGAGAATGTGATATGATTCAGTTGGTGGCTACAGAGTCATGCAGACGTAAAGGGTAATAGTCGCGCTATCAGCGCTTGGTACGATGCTTGTTCTGACGGTGAGACCGTTTAGATGAAGGTGTACCGTAGACAGAGGGTGTATAAAGGTAGGAGATTGCGCTGTGATCAGCGACAGCAGCTCATAACTGTGGAAAACTTCTTTGACAAACATCTTTTGTATCAAATCGTAACCGATCAATATCACGAGTCCAGCATAGACTCCGTACCAGTGCAATCATCATGGCAACAGGAACCTCTTGCTCGACAGAGTGCATCAAAGGCTCAATCCACGCTGGAACACCCAAAGGCATCATCGAAACACTCCACGGCCTCTCTGTCTACGTAGTCGGAAACCGAACCTCACCACGCGCAACAATCTGCATATACTCCGATATCTTCGGCCTCGGTCTCCCCAACAACAAGATTATCGCCGATGCCTACGCCGCCTCGGGAGAGTATCTAGTCCTACTCCCTGACTTCTTCAAGGGCGACCCAGTCGGGCTCAAAGTCGCCGATGCGCTGCTCCCTGTCGATGCGACGGCACAGAGTACATTTGCGAAGTATACGGGTATCTTGGCCAGTTTGCCGACGTTCCTGATGTGGCAGCGGAGGCATGGGAAGGCGGAGTCGGACAAGATTTGTCTTGACTTTATGAGGGAGTTGAGGCGAGCGACGCCGAGCGAGAGGAAGATCGGTATGGTTGGGTTCTGTTGGGGAGGAAAGTATGCTGCTCGTACGGGGTTGGAGAGCAACATGATCGAGATTGATGGGGTGAAGAAGCCGCTTGTCGATGCGATCGTGGCGCTACACCCAAGCCACCTGGTTGTTCCCGAAGACGTCGAGGGTCTTATTGTCCCGACGAGCTTTGCGTGGGGCGTGGAGGATATCGCTGTGAGTTTTGAGACGAAGGGCAAAGTGGAGGAATGTCATGCGAAGGCACAGAAGGCGCGAAAAGAGTTCCCTGAGATCGAACACAAGGCGTATACGCCTGGCAGGCATGGCTTCGCGGTCAGAGGCAACCCAGACGATCCGCAGGAGAGGAAGGCGCTGGAGGACTCGGAGAAGCAGGTACTTGCGTGGTTCGAGAAATGGCTCTGAAAAGTGCTCTGTAATTCGGTAGCCGTATATTGGCATAGGTATCATCTCCGCGTATTCAAGAACTCATTATATCCACCCTAGCGCCGTTCGCCTATCAAGAGACCTTTACTGGGCCTCTCAATTCCGCCTGTATTTCTGGGGAATGTTCTTTTCCACGACGCCTCTGAGCTCGAGCCTCTCCCACTCCTCTTGTGCCGCCTCCTTCTCCTCATGCATCTTGAAATGCGCAATGTCCTCTGGGTGGTTCAGGTCCTCCTCCTTCACATCGTCGCCGCTGTGGTACTTCTCCCAATGATGGATCTCGTACTCGTACTCGTCGTCACCGTGGTGCCCTGGGCCCATGCCGAAGTCCGGGAGCTTGACGTTCTCCGAATCCTTTTGCAGGAACTCAGCCAAGGTGATGGAACCGTCCTTGTTGATATCGAACATGTCTAAAATAGTCTGGACGACCATTTGTTTCTTGGTTTCGGAGATGGAGGCGCTGGAGGGGTCTTCGAGACCGTAGGTTTTGCGGATGTCGACGGTAGTCCATAGACCAGTACTGTCGTAGTCGTGCATGTTGAAGAAGGTGGTTGCGTCGTAGCCCGCGATGTGATGCTCCTCTGCAACAGTGTCAGTGAACGGCCCTTGCTATTTGTTTCATGTTGTGGGGATCTGGGGAAGTTCATACCAGCCATGTGTCGCGTCGCCCAGTCGGCATCTGCTGGGACTTCGACTTGCGCATGTTCAGCGCCGCCGTGCGCTGAGGCATTGAGGGCGCATGAAAGCAGCAGAAGCGCGCCAAGTGGTAGTTTCAACATGCGATTCATATTTTGTAAAATTTCGAGACTCGAGAGAATGCAAAGGCAGAGTTGAGTCGTAGCCCAAATGTTGACGGCGGCCAGGGGCTCGGTCCCCATGTGGCCAACCGCCGACACTATGTCATAGGGGTCTCGAACTTAAGGTTTCCACGTGCAGCTCTTTCACCGCACCACCAACACAACAACCTCACCATGAACGTCCTGGTCCTCCTGAGCCTGTTGCTCTTCATCCCATTCCTCTTCTTCCTCGCATTTCTAGCCGCATCTTCGTGTATGGGCGACGGCTTCCGCGCAAGATTTGCCGGCGTCACATTCAATCCTCGAAACGCATCGTTCGGTCGAAACTACACGCGAGGATTTGGGTCGGGAGCAGGCACCGGCGGCTGGGAACAAATTGAGATGGAAGACATGATGGGAGAAGACAGCGACTCGGAATGAGAAAGTTAGCACGCGCGACGAGAAGTATGGCTTGACTGCCCATCTCGGTGCTGTACAGGGTATCTTCATCTACACGCTACCGCCGATTTGAGCCTTCTAGAACTCCAGATCCTGCTTCTTCGGCATCTTGCCATCACCAGCCGCTTCTCGCACAGCTTCCTCCTGCGCCTCGGTGTCGCCTTCCATCGGCGGTAGGCTGTACTTCGCAATCACAAACTTCCGCCTACTCAGCGTAAACGCCATGTCCTCGCCCAAGTCTCCCGCTCCACCACCGCCGCCCTTCTCATGAAACACTGGTAGCTTGTGTACGGCGAGCATACCCTGCGGTCGCTCTTCGTCCTTCGTCGTACCTGCCGATTGTGCGAGCGCTTGCAAACGCGAGTATGGGAATGGAGACAGCTCAACGACACCGTCAGAGAGGATCTCCATCCAGCGAACAAGGCCTGAGGATCTCGGATATAGGGTCAAGGGAATTGTGATAATGGCGGTCAGGCGCGTTTGATACTGTCGGAGTAGCGCGCGTAGAGCGTGGAGGAATTGGAGTACGGAGGTCGGGTGGGCCGCTGACGGAGAGTACAATGCCGGCGAGAGGAGAGACGGTATCACGATGCGATGGATCGTGTGTGGTGGTGTCGACTCGAGCTGCTGCCGTATGTTTTGCAGTATCGGAGGGAAGGGTGACGAAGTGCCTGTCGGTGAAGGTATGGGCACATAGTTGATCGCTGTCCCTACAGGGAGCGTGAGACGTTTAGCGAGATCGAAGGTATGGCAGAAGACCATCTGTTCTTCTGTCGCACTATCGCCTTGGCCTGCTGTCCTCTGCACATTGGGAGAGCCTATTGAAAACCTCGTCAAAACTGCTCGATAGATGGTCTTGCATTCGGAGAGTATATGTACACAACGCACCTCTAGCACTCTCAAACTGCCCCAGACCTTCATACCTCCATGCGATCTTCATCTTCTCCGCTCGCTCCTTCCCTTCCTTTCTCTTGTCCGACTTGTCTTCTGATATGCCTGGCAATTCCCTGCCCCACACTTCGCCCATGCCTACTACATGCACCTTATGGCCCTGCACCACTCCCTCAGCTGCGTAAAACCGGAGTAATGCGCCGGCATAGTCTGTCGTCCCGCTCTCGCCTATGAGCATCGAATTTCCCAGTGCCAGGCCAGCATGTCCCGCTAGGATGCCATCAAGCGAGGGTGTGCCGGTCGACGTGGTGGGGCGGCCATCGATGGGGGAGGGACGGACGCCGGGGGGTGTTGGTGCAGGTTGTGCTATCGAGGGAGACGACAGCGCATTTGACGCGTCTTCGCCTGCCGGTGCGCGAGATAGCGCGATGTTGCGCTTGCGAAATGCCATTTGCGAGTGTCTTGGGCTGTGAGTCGCGACCTGTCGAAAATGTTAGAGGGGCTATCGATAAGCGTGAGTTAGCGTCAGACGTCATACACCCAACAGTCGCGACTGCTCGATCGATACAAAACGGGAATCGAAATCAATGTTTCTGCTATTTTCAGTTCGCGTACTAGAAGAATCCGAACTGCAACTATCTATCTGCTTCTCGCTGCCGGGCGATGACTCGTCTTGATTCTTTTGCCCCGATACAGCATCTCGCCTCCCTGATGTCTGAGTTTCACGCTCATACCGGTCGCATCAAGGCTCAGTCGCTCCAAAGACCCAAACATACTCCAAAGAAGACCGCAATCTTCAGCTCAGCGCAGTGAAACATCTGGACCCCGCAATGCATCCCAGCAATCCTACCGTATCTCAGCATTGCGGCCGCTTCAAGATAATCTCAGATGCTCGCGCTGTCCTCATTCTGGGCAAAGCTCTCCATACTCTGCCTTGAATGCTTCCATAATTGATTCCTTCTCTTCTTCCGGACATTCTGCAACCTGTATCTCGAGCAACTCTTTCTGGTTTGTGTAGAAAGCTTGCGCTTTCTCCCACCGGGATTCTTTGCGAGCACATTCTTCCTTGAGCTTGGCCTCCGCCTCTGACCGTCTGTTCTGGTCTGCTCGCACCCTCTGTTTCCATACGCGGGCGTCTCTAACGCTGCTGTTAGCAAGTGTCTTCAGCTTGTTTCTCACTTCCTCGTTCTCGGTTCGACTGTTATCCAGCAGCTTTTGCATCTGTTTGTGTCGCTCATGCAGAGCTGCCATAGCTCCATCGGTTGCTTTACGCGCTGCCTGTGCCTCAGAGAGCTCATTTTCAAGCACTTGGATCCTTGCTATGTGTGCCTCTTTCTGAGCTGATGTGGCGGCCATGTCTTCATCAATCTTTCTTCGCGCATCCTTCTGGTCTTTGAAGAGCTTCTTCATCTGGTTCTACAGTCAACGTTATTCGCCTCAATGTCTATGGATTATTGCGCTTACTCTGTCTGTATGATGTGCTTCTTGTTTTGTTGTACCTATTCTGCGTAAGCCACGCCCCCTGATGAAGCAATCAAACGGGATCAACCATCACTTACCAGTTCCTTCAATCTCTTCAGGGACACGATTCTTGACCGTGCGCATCAGATCCTCCGTGAGTGAGGTACCTCGGCCTTGGGTACCGATTTTAGCCGGTAACATCGCTGATGCGTGCGGTGCAGAGGGAAGCATAGTCTGAATAGAGCGCATCCGCGTCTCTACATCCGCGCTAAATTTGGTGGTAGGAACGTTATTCAGTGGCGCCCCGTTCGCGACCGACCTGACCGCCCATTCAAAATTATCCATAGCCCACGGATACTTGAAGGGCGGTATCGCGCCCTTCAGCAAAAAGTAGTACTCGATCAAAGTTTTCAGCTCGAAGCCGTAATCGGGTCCTACCATATCAAATGAATATCCACTTTGTCGATATGCGGCCTTGAATGGATGGCAGAGGTCCTCGATGTGTGGTAGCATCACCGATAGGATCCGTTGTCCTCCAGATAGCATGTATACTCCCCCAGGCGACTGGTCAAGCTCTTTGTGGGCCCATGTTGACTGGATATCCTTATATCCGCCGATACGAAGCTTTACCAGGGCGATCTTCATGTACCACTGTGTCGTGGTTCGAGTTTGTGAGGCTGGTACCCAGACCAAGTCTTCGACCAAAGGCAATTTTGCGAACTCGTCTGGAAAGTACTTATTGGCGTAGTCTTGGATGTTCTGCAAAGTAACTTTGTCATTGGAAGCCATCTGCTCAAACGTAAGCAGCTGCGGAGAGTTTGGTGCATGCGCCTGGTATACCTCGATGATGCACCCGTGATTGATGGGTCTTGCTGTAAATGAGCTCGTCAGGCCTTCAGAAATGATGATTGTCGCAAGTTATACAACTCGAGTTTTAGGCAGTGACATGTGTTCTAGTAGGTAACGAAAAGCGAAGTAAAGAATGGGGAAAGGAAAGTGGATCACCAGGAAATAACTCACCAGTAGGCAGATATCGAAGCAGCGTAGTTGGAACACCTAGCTTAACCTCACCTGGGCATTCTTGTCTCTGACTGCATGAGTTTACCAACGTCACCAGTGAGAGAACACTTCTTGGGCTAGTATTCCCTTGCACCACGCTATAAATCATCATTTTACCAGCTAAACATGGTATTAGGATGAGATTCCAGAACATCTAGTCGAGTCTTGCATAAGGACTACATGATAAAGTTGACTCGGAGTGCGACGCAAGGTGTGGTGTGCTCTTCTTCGTGCTTTCCTTCCAAGGTTCTCGCCGTCTGGCACTAAAGTCCCGACACGGCTAGCGTATACTGTTAGCTTCATCTCCCCGCATGAAGGCCGGACAGCACTCGATACTTTCAACATCTTCGACACAACTCTACCTTTTCCATCTAACTCTACTTCCAACATAAGGTCATGGCAGCCGATGAAGATATCGAGTCTGTTCTAATTCCAAGTCTCTACAAACCGCCCGCTTTGCTACCGATCGCGCAACTCAAAGATCAACTCCTCTACACAATAGAGACATACCCTGTGACCATTGTCGTTGGTGAAACAGGAAGCGGTAAGATTTTCTAATCTCTCACTAAAGGTCAAAGCTGACATTTGGCCTTAGGAAAGACAACACAGATACCAAAATTTCTGCTGGAAGCCGGTTGGTGCACTGGCGGCAAGCAAATAGCGATCACTCAACCCCGGAGAATAGCATGTACTAGCGTAGCCGCAAGGGTAGCAGAAGAGCTGGGTACGCCTCTTGGTCAACAAGTCGGGTACAGTATCAGATTCGAAGATGTCACGTCCGCGGCTACGCAGGTGAAGTTTGTCACAGATGGCCTGTTACTGCGCGAGATGCTCGTCGATCCGCTCCTTTCACGCTATTCAGTCATTATGGTCGACGAAGCACATGAAAGAAGCTTGTCTTCTGACATACTCTTGAGCCTACTGAAAAAGGTGCTGAGGAAGCGAGAAGACTTGCGCGTTGTTGTAAGCAGCGCTACGCTAGAGGCGGAACGCTTCCTTGACTTCTTCAACCCCGACGATGGCGAAAAGGTCCACGGCAAGAGCAAAGAAGAATTCGGGTACATCATCGGTATCGAAGGGCGCACATATCCGGTGGAGATCCAGTACCTACAAGAACCAACGAACGACTACGTGGAAGCAGCAATCGACACGGTCATGAAGATCCACGAGCACGAGAGCGAAGGCGACATCCTTGTCTTTTTAACAGGACGCGAGGAGATTGACGATGCAATCGACAAGCTGGGTGACCGCATTGCCGACTTGTCTTCATCTAAGCAAAGGCTCATGCCGTTGCCCCTCTACGCTGGCTTGCCAACAGAAGACCAAAATCTCATCTTCACAAAACCGCCACAAGACACGCGACGCGTCGTCTTTAGCACCAACATCTCAGAGGCATCTTTGACTATTGACGGGATCGTCTTTGTGGTGGACTCAGGATATGTCAAGCTTCGCGCCTACAACGCCAGTCTAGGCATTGAGAATCTCGCTGTCGTTCCTGTGTCGAAAGCTAGTGCCACACAAAGAGCGGGTCGTGCTGGACGCACGAGGCCGGGCAAATGCTTCAGGCTGTATCCTGAAAGTGTTTACGAAAGCTTGGAGGAAGCCACGTTCCTAGAGCTCGCCCGCTCGAATCTCGCACCTGTGATCCTGCAGCTTCTCAACTTGGGAATCACAAATGTGGTGCGGTTCGATTACCTCTCGCCGCCGCCATCAGCACTAGTAACGCGCGCTCTGGATTTACTCTACTCTCTCGGCGCGTTGGACGCTCATGCTCGCCTCACGAAGCCCCTTGGCACGCGTATGGCGGAACTTCCGCTCGAACCGATGCTTGCTCGCGCATTGTTGAAGGCCGCTGAACCGGAGTTTGGCTGCTTGAGCGAAATGCTCACAATAGCCGCAATGATGACTCTGCAAGGCAATGCTTTCGTTTCTCACGACGGTGGTAAGAAGCAGCTTGATGCAGCAAGGCGGAAATTCGCAGTAGCAGAGGGCGACCACCTTACACTATACAATGTATACGAAGCTTTCGTGAAAGCTGGAATGGGTAACACGGCATGGTGTCATTCAAACAGTCTAAACCACAAGTCGCTCGTTAAGGCAGTCAGCGTCCGGAAGCAACTTGCTGCTTACTTGGATCGTTTCGGGGTCAAGGAGAATGTTCTCGCAGCATCTGGCGTGCTGAGGGTTGGCGGTACACCACTCGCCGAGCGCGTCCGCCGCTGTCTAACGACTGGGTTCTTCGCACATGCTGCGAGGATGAAGGCAGATGGGACTTTCACGACTGTTGATGGAAAGACGACGTTATGGCCTCATCCGACGTCTGTGTTCTTCACGCGGAAGGCGGATTGGATCATATACACCGAGATTCAGTCTACAAGAGACAAGATCTACATTAGGGATATGAGTACAGTGGAGATGGACTGGTTGACAGAGTATGCACCAGAGTTCTACAAGATCAAGAATGGCGGTCGATGAGACGAGAAGAAAAGTAGCTTGCGGGTATCTATCAAAACTAAAGGCATAATTACATAAGGACATCACGACAGGACTGCTGTTTGCCCCCAATTACTTGCATGCGTCGACGAACAGCTCTCGCATGCCCTTCAGGAAGCCTGCTAAGTCGCGCGTTTCATTCAGTCTGTCCACCACCGTCTCGACCTCTTCGCGCTCGACCTTGGGCCGCATCTCTAGCACCCTGTAGTCGCGTTCGCTAGTATCCAGCTCAAACCACGCCTCACGGTCCCACTCCCTCTCATCAACGTTGGTATACACGAACTTTAGCCTATCATCTTTGCCCAGCCCCTCAATCCTCAAGCCCAGATAGTTCTCCCAGAAGTCGAGTTCTGGCTCGTTGTAACGGCTTTGCCCATCGAGGTATCGGCGATGTTTGAGTTGTGCTTCACGGCGTGCGGAAATGGTCTTTTGCACTTCGGCGATTTGGGCGCGCAGGCTGTCGCGGTGCGCTAGGCGCTCGTCGCGCTGGAGGGTGAGGGCGGAGATGGCCTCCTGCATTTCGGAGGTTTCTTGGGACTCCTTGGAGATTGTCTGACTGTGCTGGGCTGTCTTGAGTTCGAGGATCTCGATGTCGCGTTTCTTCATGCGTTGGTCCTCTGTCGCAATAGTTAGTATGGATCAGACGAGATGCAGGTGGATCGTGTCTCATCGTACCATGGAGTTCTGCGACATTCATGCGGAACTGGTTGCGCTCTTCCAGTACTCGTCTGCGCCCATTCTCGATGAAAGCATCAAATCGTGTAGTGAACTGGTTCATGCGACTGCGCAGATCGTCGAATCCGAAGTTGATGCTGGGTAGTTGGTCGGCCATGGACGGCGCATCGTGCGAGGAGGCGCGCATCGTGGTGCTCATGGATGGCTCGAAGGTCGTCATGATTGCGGTTCGACTAAGACGTCTCTCGTGGCGTATGCGAATATGTGGTGGGGTGCGATGCGACAATGGGTGGTGAGGGCGGATGAGATGGTTGCTCCGTAAACAAACACGCGCGCTAGTGCGGCAGGAACGATAGCGGGGCGCATGCACGTGCCGACGCGACTTTTGGCGCTAGTGGAACTTTTTGGCGAGGTTCCAAGGTTACTTTCATCATCGCGTCCGGCGCATGCTCAACCTTGACAGACACAATTTTCGCTCTCGCATACGGTCGTTCGTTTTCTGCGTACAAAGAATGAGTTTATACTCCAGCGTCGTTACGGATCGAGAACCTTTACGACAGCCCAATGGCTGATAGATCGCTCAAAGATCTGAACTACGGCCATCCCGGTGCAGCGACTTACGACTTGGAGAACAGAGAGTGGACGTTTGCCAGGCCTTATTCCGCACGCCCATTTAAGCGCATACGAACTTCGAAGGACGCGACTCCTGCGAGCAGTCATGCGACACCGGCATTTTCTCTCTCTGCGGAAATCCTATCGAGTAGAACCAGCGTTCAGAAAGAGATCAGTAACAGCATAGGAGAACACCCTCAGCTCTCTGCAGCAGCCGAAGTCCTCCCCGATCTAGCTGTAGTGTCTGCTGCCATATCATCCACGGCTTCGACCTACGATCCGCTCGTCGGCGACCTACTCTCCTTCGGTTCGATTACACCCAAGGGTAGACACGAGGCATGGCAAATAGCTGCATTGCCGACGGGAGAATCTGGCAGCATACTGCAGTTGTCAATCCTAGATAACGAAAGACACGGTTGGACAGCAGATCCGAAGTCATGGGTAGAAGGGCGGACCTTGAAAGACACGGAGAGTGGCTTCTGGAATGAGGAAGCGGCACCGATCCAGCAAGTTCACTTTTCGCATTCGGATGACAGCAGACCTTTTCTGGCTGTGCGACTGCCTACCCGTACTGTCCTCTTCCACCCAGACTACCACCGCCGACCACGCGCTTCCGCTGTCTCACCGTTCTACCGCTTGCCCGCCTCCTCGATCGAACTCCACCCTATACTCAGCATAAGTCAAAACGATACTGATGGCTTTGCTCATGCCGACGTCACATTCAATCCAGACTTCCAGTTGCAGTTTGCACTCGTCGACCTGAATCAGACATGGAGTGTATGGGACATCGAGCATCGGCCCAGACTTGGCACGTACTCGGCTTCATGCCTGCTTCGTGGAAAGATCGATCAACTGAAAGAGGACGGGGATACAGCTTGCGAAGACGGTTGGGCGAGGATTCTCTGGGTGGCTGATACAACGACGTTGCTGGTATGCAACAGGCGCCATTT